ATCCTTTTAGTAGATCTAATTTTGGACTAACAAAAATCTGACAAAAATCAAGTTGCGGAACTGAGGACCAATTTCCTTGTATGAAGCTACAATGGTTCTCCTTCTAAAAGAACACAACTTAAAAGAGATCAAAAGAATATAACCATCTGGATATCCAAATATGGAGTGGTCATTTCTTTCCCTTCGGACTGAGTAATATAGTAATAATCTTTTTGATTGCCTATAAATTAAAATTAAACAAACATGTGATCCTTTCAAAGGATGTCTTTCTGATCAGTTAAACCAAAACAGCGAGATAACACGATGATACTACAACTATCTCGTTTGATCATTATGTCGATCAGTTCTTGGATGCAGGACATTGATCAAGTCAGTCTGTCGCTGACCTGTCACGGACTATTTGACACTTTCAAAGCATCAAGCTTTCTCTTTGGTCACCGCCTCAACCAAAGTCTTCATTCTGGGATCACTCCATCATCGGTCACCTCGTTGAAGTTAAGTCCCGGCTTCAACCAACCTCTACTCGCGGGACATATTCCATTGTCAGTCACTTCGTTGACCTTTGGTATCAGGTTTAACCAACCTCTGCTCGCTGGACACATTCCATCGTCGGTCACCTCGTTGGACATTGGTCACAATTTCAATCAACCTCTGCTCGCTGGACACATTCCAGCATCGGTCACTTCATTGACTTTCGGACTCTTCAACCAGCCTCTGCTTGCTGATCATATTCCATCGTCAGTCACCTCGTTGATCTTTGGTAGCTTCAATCAACCACTGCTCGCTGGTCATATTCCATCGTCAGTCACCTCGTTGCTCTTTGGTAGCTTCAATCAACCACTGCTCGCTGGTCATATTCCATCGTCAGTCACCTCGTTGCTCTTTCGAACTTTCAACCAACCTCTGCTCGCAGGACACATTCCATCATCAGTCACCTCGTTAACCTTTGAAACCATTTTCAATCAACCTCTGCTCGCAGGTCACATTCCAGCATCAGTAACCTCGTTGACCTTTAGTCTATTCTTCAATCAGCCTCTCCTCGAGGGGCATATCCCTGAGCGAGTCAAATCACTGAGCTTTGGTTTACATTTCAATCAGCCTCTGCTGACCGGACACGTTCCAGCATCAGTCACCTCGTTGACCTTTAGCCACCACTTCAATCAAGCTCTGTTCGCGGGACATATCCCACCGTCGGTCACCTCATTGGTACTTGGCTATTACTTCAACAAGCCTCTGCTCGCAGGACACATCCCAACGTCTGTCAAATCGCTGACCTTTAGCTCCCAGTTCGATCAGACTCTGCTCGCAGGACACATTCCATCGTCGGTCACCTCTTTGGATCTTGGATGTTGTGCCAAGTACAGGCAACCTCTCCACAATGGACACATTCCCACGTCGGTAACATCGTTGACCTTGGGTGACATGTCCAGGAAGCCCAAGCTGTCAGCCCAAGGTGTAGTGGAGTACCTCCAGCACATGTTCTCAGACCAAAGCAGTCGCTTCCACATTGCCAATCTCACCATCCACTTTGATGTCTTTCACTGTAGCAACCGTCTTCCCGTCAATGCATCATCAATCTCATCGCTCTGCTTTATCTTCCAGTTCACTTCGACGCTCGTCATTGACCAAACACCGCTATGTGGTACTGTGAGCAAGATGTTTGCCAGGCTGATCGATACGCACAATGTCCTCCTCTTAAAGGACACTCGCTTTGGTTTGACCAAGCTTTAAAGGTTGTGGCCACATTGGTCGATGCATTGTAGCCAGGCTGGCGAGACTTTTAAGCTCGGGCTGAATAAATACATTCATTCTTCACCGGCGGTGCACAGGGCGTGAGCTTGACGAACAGGCTGAACATGTTATAATATAATGAAAGGCATGATACGCGCCCGAGGAGTGTCGAACATGTCTGTATTGCTCACTGCCTTGACCATCACGTTGCCATTCGCTGTCGGTGTGATCTTGTCGATTGAAAAGTTGTCTGGAAGCGTGACGTTATATGTCGGCGTTGACTCCTCTTCCCTGATTGGCTTGACGTGCTTCTTGACCTCGTTGCGCTTGGACAGTGCACCCCAAAGACGTTGATAGAGTTCCTTTGATCGTGGGACTCCATCCTTGATCCATCCAAGCACTTGATCGATGTATTTACCAAACAATGTCACAGAGTACATTCTACACTCCGGACCATAGAGTAGTGCATTGTGTTTGCCATCCTGTTTGAGTGTGTACGTCAATCCAAGTTCTGTCGCTAGTGCTAGATCATAGTTGGTGTAGTAGTTATGTTTGTTAGTCTTGAATGCGCGGTGTGTTCCATTGATGATCGCTCGATAGATACCGAATGGTGGAGCTCGCTTGATGTCATCGTCAGTCAGTTGTTTGAACTCGCCCCGCTTGATTGGAATCATAAAGTTACTGCTCTTAAGTATCGCGGCGTACATCTTGCATACGTCATACTTGTAGAGAGGACCAGTGTAGCCACCTTCAACAGCAAACATCAATGGTCCGCATGATGCTTTGGATATCCACTCGCCTTCATCTTGTTGTATGTGTTCTGGATACACTGCTTTGTTGTAGGAGAGGAAGTGTGAGATGGCTGCCTTGTTGATGTTGTGGCCAGTGTAGTACATGTCGATGATTCCATTCGTACCTTGTTTGAGTGCATCAGCATCGGTGATGAATGATTGTAGTGTTTGTTCGAGTGTCTTTCCTTCCTCTGAGTATATGAACTGATAATTGGACTCGAACTTGATCCTGCTCTTCTCTCTGATAAACTGTTCTCTGCTCATCGTGCTCTGAGTAGCACCATCATATATGATGACATGATCATCGTCGCTTGCGTATTTGAATGCTACAGGCTTCATCACTCTATCCTGCTTCTTGATTGCTATACCCTTGGTTTGGTACACATCTGTCTTATCGAGTGTGTAGTGACCATTGGTTAGCTTGAGTCTGATCTCTCTCGGGAACGTCTTGGTCGATGTGTAGATGTGATCACCTCGAACATATATACGCACCTTGAACTTGTCCTCAACTGTCGACAGCATATTGATTGGGACAGGGTCCTTGGCGTCGAGATTGAGGTACTTCTTCAGACGCAGTGGTGCATTGCAAGTGTTGACAATGTCTGGGTAACATTGTTTGACACAGTGATATAGGCAGTTGTTCCATTCACTACTACATCCACCTGCTTTGGGATTGGCCTTCTGTACGAATATGCTGAATGATTGGAATGTGTCAGGTTCGTCAATTGGTGCACCGTCGTAGTCATGAGGATGGAACATGTCAATGCGCTCACCTACCTTTGTGAATCTGCCTGATCTAAATTGATTACCTGGATATCTCAGTACAACTTCAACTCGTGTGTTTGGATTGGCGCCCTTGTTGTAGAAGGCGTTGCTGTACTTCTGAGCGATGTCGGCAATCTGCTCACGCGTGTAGTTGCCATTGTATCTGTACTGTTTGAAGCCAATGCTGTTGAGTCTATTGCGATCCATTGTTATATATATCTAATTGATAAATTAATTATATATTATTTGTTTGCGCTCGTGGCTCCATCAACTGTTTGTGAATGTTGCCTTGTCTGTGGCGATGGATGTTGGTTACGCCAATGGGAAACCCACACTCACACACCACTTTTTGACGAAGGTAGGCTTTGTGCTTCTCACGGAACTCCGGATCTGATTGGTATTAAAGTTTGAATGAGGACATTATTATTTTTATTCTTAAATATTATATTAGCTATATTTTGATTCATTGAAAACTCCAACCAGTACAACTCTCGTATTAATAAATTGATGGTAGGATTGGAAGAAAATATAAACTCCTGGTATTGATGTGTCCATTTTTGATGGTGATTTGGCAAATGGTGCACAAATCCACTGATGTGTGTCCACCGCTACATGTCCCGGAAGGATAATATTGAGAGCAGCACTGATTTTCTTACTGCTGATAGCTTGAGGGGCAATGAGCATTATGAGAAGTATTATTATAGTATACAGAGATAGAGATGTCATTTTTGTTGTGCGTCTGTGTGTGTTGTGTTGGATGACAAATGGAAGTGATTGCTTTGCCTTTGTGCTTTCATGCCTCAAAAACACAAAACGCGCTTAAAACTTAAAAAATAAAAATACAACTAATCAATGAAAAAAAGAAAAAAAATTGGCAACAAAACAGCAGCAACGCCCTCGAGAGAGCGCACTACGAATTTGATTGTATTTTGTATTGTCAGAGCCTAACTAATCCAACTACACAATGTTAATATTACCAACTTACGTTCTAAGAATAATTTTGCTACATCTTGACATTATTGATGTATTATGTTTTCTCTTAGTAAGCAGAAGCATCTTCTCACTTCATAAACTCATCGCACCGTCACTGAAGCACCACTTTGGAGCTATACCATCATCATCACCATCACGACAACCGACGCCAAAGAAAGAAAACCTATATAAATACCTGTCTACGTTTTCTAAAGAGCTCTCAAAACCAAACCCTTGGAGTTTGCGCGAGCTTCCTCAAGCTGGAGAAGATTTACCACAATTATCACTGCCCTATTTCAACAAACCTCTTCAAGTTGGACAACTACCCCAATCAGTGACACAACTGTCACTTGGTGAATTCGATCAACTCCTTCTAGTTGGACATATTCCTCAATCAGTGACACAGATGTCAACGAGATGTTTCGATCAACCACTTCAAGTTGGACACATACCACAGTCAGTGGTACAACTGTCACTTGATCATTTCAACCAGCCACTCCAAGCTGGACACATACCACAATCAGTGGTACACCTGTCACTTACTCATTTCAACCAGCCACTTCAAGTTGGACACATACCACAATCAGTGGTACACCTGTCACTTACTCATTTCAAGCAGCCACTTCAAGTTGGACACATACCACAATCAGTGACACATTTGTCGATCGGTGGTAAGTTCGATCAATCACTTCAAGTTGGATACATACCACAATCAGTGACTCATTTGTCAATGGTCTTTTTCTACCAGCCACTTCAAGTTGGACACATACCACAATCAGTGACACATTTGTCATTTGATATATTCGATCAACCTCTTCAAGTTGGACATATACCACAATCAGTAACACAATTATCAATGTCCAGCTTCAACCAACCACTCCAAGTTGGACACATACCCCAATCCGTGACACGATTATCAATACCCAGTTTCAACCTACCGCTCCAAGTTGGACACATACCACAATCAGTGACACATATGTCATTTGGTAAATTCGATCAACCACTTCAAGTAGGACATATTCCACCATCAGTTATACAGTTGTCAATGCGACGCTTCAATCAACCAATTCAGGTCGGACATATTCCACTGTCAGTGATGCATTTGGAATTGACACTCTTCAACCACCCTCTCCAAGTTGGACACATCCCAAAATATGTGACAAGTTTAACTTTTGGCAGAGAGTTCAATCAACTTCTCAAAACAGAGCACATTCAATCAGTTAGATCACTGTCAATTCAATGCCCGCAATTCTCTCCCGAGAATATCAGTTTGCTTGGACACAACTGTCTCAATGAGCTTAGTATTGTCCATGTAGCTACAAAAGACAATTGTAAATCTGTTGGGACATCCTCACTTTTACACCAGGAGACTATTTCTCATCTTTCAAAGATGAATACTCTTTTGCACTTAATCATCAAGATTAAGCCGAGAAAGTGTCTCAAAGGAATAGATGGTGGGATGCCATTCTCTACTTTGTATTCATTGCTCAAGTTTATTCCAACAATCACTCTACAATTCTGCTTTCAGTCTAGTGATGCCATTGACTTTGAAATCATTTGGAGACTGGTCGACGACAAAACAGCACTACTAGTCCCTATATCGGACGCGGATGATAATGGAGTTGTACTATTTTGGAAGTTTGCAACACACAAGCCTGGGGCGGTCACCACATTCAAGAATTCAACTGCGTCACAAGCCGAGCCCAACCTGGTGCTCGCCGATCCGGGTGAGTCAGTCAAACCTGAATTAACCTCTCTCAACCCCAGTTGGGGTTGGTGAGGTTGATCGGGGTGGGTCTATTTGGCAATCTAAGAGAGATAGAGGTTGTTTGTGATGTATTTTCAACAGATTAGTAACTTTATAGAGATAAATGAATATTTACTGTATTAATAAATATACCAAAAAATAGTATAAGAGTCAACAATATGAATGATATAAACATTAGGAATGCCTACGACAGTTACCCGATATGCAATGGTTGGGAAGTGATCAAGTTGCGTAAAGTGTTTCTCGTCAAAGCAACAGGAGAGAATAGCACTGACACAGACAAACCATTCAACTGTATTTTCTGTAGCGAGCCTTTAAAAGGCGATACAAGCCAACACATACTTCGTCATCTCGATTCAGAACGTTGCAAGAAAGCCCGCGCTACCTACAACAAAGTAGATATCAGGGAAGCTGATTACTACTGTTGCAGATACTTGGTATTCGCCAATCACCCAATGAACACTCTCCGACATGACGCATTCGTTGAGTTTCTTGGGAAGCTCAATTATAAACCGCCATCAACATATTACTTCAAAGAGACGTTCTTGCCAACAATAATGCAAGAGTTGACTGATCTCCTGAAGAGTAAGTTCTAGCAGCACAGTATCTTTGTTTATAATAACACTAACTTACTCACTCAATCACACTGTGATCAATCAATCAATCAATCAATCAATCAATCAATCAATCAATCAATCAATCAATCAATCAATCAAAACAATCAATCAACACAAAGGTATCCTATCTCAAGCTCAATCAGTAGCTATTACTACTGATGGGTGGACTGACAATCAGAATGATAAGTTCACTACTATTACTGCACATTGCATCACCATGCCATTCAAATATCAGTCTATGGTCCTTGACTTCATTCCTCTTAATGAGAGTGATACATCTGTCAATCTCTCCAAAGTACTGATGGAGTGCCTCAACAAGTGGGGCATTTCTGACAAGGTTGTAGGAGCTGTGACAGACAATGCACACAATGCCACCAAATCAATTGCCCTCTCTGACAACATCCCATCATACAGATGTCTGTCGCATACAATCCAACTCATGGTGGGCGATTGTATTAACATTGGTAAACCTCCATCCATGGATGAGGTCCACATTACATTCGACAGTACCCTCACCAATGCAAGCAGCGGTGGACAA